TAGATCTCCATCACCAGGTGAAGGAGCAGCAAGGAGGGACAAGCACATTGGTGCCAAACACAGGGCATGCTGGAAATGCTGCTTGCCTTCCTTTCTTTATTTTCTTAAAAGTGCAAACCCAAAAAGTTGTTAAATATCACCGCAGCTGCCACGGTGGTGTCACCCAGGGACTCTGGCCAAGGGAAGTGATGTGGTGGCAGCCTGGCATTGCCTTCCTTGGGGCAGGGATGGAGCCAAAGGAGCTCCACCAGGAGCAGGGCTGTCCTGGAGCTCTCGCCTCGCTCGGTGCCTGCCAGCAAGAGTGCTCTCAGGGGAGCTTTGAGGCAGAGTTTGGGTGAGAGTGTCACTGAAACTCGGGACTAAAACTCTCTAACACTCTTTGTAGTATTAGAAAGCTTTATTTGCACTTTATTTTCAGTGCCAGGCATGTGAGAGAGAGCTCTTCCTGTCACACCCTTGAATTAGTGGTTTATTTTCATTATAAAGATATTCAACCTGTTTCTTACAAGAAGGCCGGACTATGTTAATTACTTCTCTGAGTTTATTAGCATATTAATTATTTCCTCATATGGACTTGTTTGCCCTCAATTACCTAACTGAGAGTCCTGGTCCTGTTTGATATGGAGATGTTCGTCTCCAGCCACAGCTCTAAGCCCTCCAGTTCCAACCTGATATGGGCTTGATAAGCAAGCCCGTGCATTCAGATACCCAGTGCATTAATCATAACTTTTAGCTCCTCGTTTGGTAACAAGGGGACCAAACCCACATATTTTGGGTTCTGTTTTGTTGCCATCTGCCTGGCAGTGGGACAGAGCTGAAGAGGGTGTGGAGGTTCCCAGTGCATCCCATTTGGCTGTGTTGTGCCTGTGCCAGCTGTTGTGCAGTGTTTCCCTGCTGGGATTCCCGTTCAACCTCTGCTTTCAGTCTGCTCCAGCTTGGCCAGAGGGGCAGAGAAACCTGCGGGGCTGGGACCTTCCTCCAGATCCCACCTTCCTCCTCCTCGCCCACCGGGGACAGAAGGTAGGACTCTCACCCTGAGGGTGGTCACTGGGGCTGGGGGATGAGAAGGGGTCCCAGAGGAAAGGGGGATCTCTGCCTGTTTTGCCTGGGGGCTCCTGGACCTCAGGTCTGGGCCAGGCTCTGGCTGGGTCCTTGGAGTAACCCCTCTCCAAGGGGTGATCAAGGGGCACCTTTGTAGGGGTGTCACCCCTGCAGAGACTCTTCCTGACCCTCCACAGAGTGGCTGGCATAGCCAGCTGAGGGGGCTCATCTCAAGGGGCTCACCCAGCTGGAGGGGCTGAGCCCCCCTGGGATGTGCAGGTTGGACAGGTTTCCAGGCTGCTTTGGGGTGGGGGGCTTGGCAGGGTGGGCATAGGGGTGTGATGGTTCCTTTGGAGGCAGTGAGTGGGGATTTGGGGTGTGCAGGCTGCCCTGGCTACACTGGGGGTATGGACCAAATGGGCAAAGCCCTAAAATCTGCTGGGACCCGAGAACAGCAAATGTAAACCCTTAAGGACCCTCAAAATATTTTGGAAGCTGCCTCTTCTCTTCCTCCATCTCCTGGGCACCCACATCTTGTCTCCTGAGCATTCAAAGGCTGATGGGATTTGGCTGCTGGGGCCACATGTCTCTAGGAGGACACCCAGCACTGTGTCTGGCTGGGTTAGGGGACAGGGCGTGCAGGGGGCACCTGGAGACACCTGGGATGCGGGGACCAGGATGATGGAAGAGGGGGTGGCATAGCCTGTCCTGGGGCTCTGACAGGGAGAACCCATAAGTGCTCCTACATCCCAGAGTTGGGAAGGGCACTTGGGACAGGCCTGTCCTTCCCAAGGGGCTCCTGTGCCCTGCACCAAGACTGGGGTCAGCACCGGGGCTGTGGGGAGGGACTCACGACTCCACCACCTCTCCCTGGCAGAGCATCCATCACCAGGGCCATGGCAGCCCAGCCTGGTGGGGGCCAGAAGCCCTTCCACATCGTCTCAGCCATCCCAGAGAGCTGCCCCTCTCCAAGGCAGCAGGCACCAAGGTCTTCATGAAGCTGGAGAACGTCCAGCCCACGGGCTCCTTCAAGATCCGGGGCATCGGGCACCTCTGCCAGGAGGTGAGTGTGGCATGGCGTGGGCAGGGGGCTCCTACTCTCATGGGGGACACAGCCATCCTCTCCCCTCTTTCTCTCCTGCCTTTCAGGCTGCCAAGAAGGGCTCGACTCCTCCCACAGCCTTCTCCAGCACACAGCGTCCATGCAGGGATGGGGAAACCGAGACACGCGGGGCAGACGAGCCTGGGGCTCACATTGCAGGCAGGGCTGGAGCCAGGGTCCTTCCTGTGCTGAGAGCTGGACTGGCGTCCACACATCCCACTCTTCCGCTGGGACATGCCAGCTATCCTCCCCTACACACCCCAACCCTCCATCCCCCTCCTCCTGTCCCTCCCCTGCTCCTCCCCGGGCTGTTTGGGCTGGAACTCCCCACCTCGATTAGCAAGCGCTCCCTCTCTGACTAATTGCTTTGCTACTGTCTTTATGCATTATTATTCTAATGATTATTAATTATTACACTCCTCTGCCGTTCCTGCCGTGCTGGCTGCGGTCAGACAAGAACAAGGCGCGCGGCCGCGCTTGTTACGGTGATTTATGGGCGGAGATCCCCGGCCGGGTTTAACAGCGCTGGTGCCTTCCCGGGACTGCTGGGGTGACGGGGACCCCAACCCCAGGGTTGGCTCCTGCACCCAGCTCTGAGCTGTGAGTCCCAACCAGTAAAGGTCCTCTGAGCCGGGGGATCATCCCTGCTCTTGGTGGCTGCTCCTGGTGAGCCCCATCCTCCTGCACCAAGCCCCCGGGTGCCTGCATTGCCTGGGATGTGGCAGCTTGGAGCATCATCCAAAATCCCTCCTGCAGCCTGTCCCGCCCTGAGTCCCAGAGATGGGGTGCTGCAGCAGGTTGAAAACAGCCCTCAGGTTTATGCCTCTAGTTTTTTAATAATAATAATAACGGTAATATTAATAGTAGTAGTAATTGCAGCAACCAGTGTTCACTCAGTGAGTGACCTTGTGTTGCATTTTATACTCCTCAAAGTGATGCTGGGATGGGGTTACTTACCAACACATTGCCTTGTCCTTAAAAAAAAAAAAAACATTAACTGCTAACACTGACAGCCTGGAAGGGTTGGAGCAGAGGGGAGCAGCCAGCTGTGCTCCTGCCTCAGCTTCCCCACCAGTGAAAAGGGGAGAACGTGCCTTGCTTGGTGGGTGACCAGTGTTTCTGCGATGGTCCCAGCTCCCGGCTGAGGGGTCTCTCGAGGCTCGGCCTGGCTTGTTGGCCACTCTGTTATTAATGCCAGTAATGGTATAGGAAGGATAAATTCCACCACTTGGCTGAACAGAGAAAATATGCAGAGAAGTGGCTGGCTTTCCATAAATCATCAGTGCTCCGTGCTACAACCGAGCCAGGACTTAAAATTCAGGTCAGGAGAGAGGGACTCTCGTAAGCCAGCAAGGGAAGGTAATTTATTCTGTTTATATCGTTTTACTGCAAGACAAGGGGGGGCGAAAACCTCTGCCATGATTTTGCATTTTAAATATTGGTTCAGAGCTGCAGCCTGCCTTGGACTTTTTATTTTTATGCCTCAGAAATCGAGGGACAGGAATCATGAGAGAGGAGGGGAGTGAACTGGGGTGCTGGGGGAGGAGAACCCCCTGCTGCCCTCGGTACCCCTTGGGGCAAATAGGGCAAAAGCTACCGATGGCATCGATGGACCTCCCCTTTGGGATGTCCCCTGTTGGTGTCCCCCTCCAGCAGCCCTACTGACCCCCATGGCTGCTCCATGGGGATGCTCTGCCAGCAGGGCTGTGGGTGCCCCTGGGTTGCCTGGATGGGCCTTGGGGGGTTCAAACAACACGTGCCACCCGGGAGAAAGGAATCGTGCGTTGGGCTGTCTGTTGTGGGGGAAGGTGCTGAGCTGGGTAATGTGCCCCCTCCCAGTGCCAGAGAGCTGGAGGAGTGGGGGAATGGGGGGACTGGGGTACCACGTGGGTGATGCAGCAGCATCACCTTGTACAGGGGCCACGGCACCTGTTACACCCAGGGGAGTGATGGGGGGCTGCTCCCCCAGACCCCACACAGGGCTGGGGGGCAGTGGTGGAGCAGGGCAGCCCTGCCAGCAGCGCTCGTGGTCTTGTCTTAAAAATAAAACAAAATAAAATAAAATGAAAGGGACAGGTGACCGAACAGTAGGTAACTAAAAGGTTTTTTATTCACATTGAACAACAAGAGCCATTCACACTAACAGCCTCTGCAAGAGGCAGCGGGGACAGGAAACCCACGACGCTTTCAGAAAACAACTTTTTTTCCTTTCCTTTTCCATTCTCCTTCCTTTTTTTATCGCCCCCTCTCTATCCTCTCACCCCCCTCCCCGGTGCCACCCCCTCCCTGCCTTCAAAATAGAAAAATTCGGAGCCTCCGATGACTAAAGTACAATAAATAATCAGTAAACACAAAAACATACTTTATTTGTTTCTCCTTTATACAAAATAAAGAAACTAGAAGCAAAAACTATAATACATCCTTAAATTGTCGGAGCCTCTGGGAATTGTTGGGGTGGGACTCGGCATCGAGGCTCGGGTGTAATTTCTGCTGTTGTGGTTGAGTTGGTTTAGTTCTGGGGTTTATTGGTTTCTTGTTGTTGTGTTTTTCCTGTTTCTGCCTCTTTCTGGTGTCTTTTCCACCAGGTGGGAGCCCAATCTCAGCCAGTCACTGGGGCAGCCCTGGGCCTGGCCCCCCCACCACCCCCCTTCTCCCCATCACCAAAAACCGTGTCCAAACCCACCTTCTCCTTGGGGATAAAATGGGAACAATAAAAATAAGGGCAGGGAGAGGGGCCGCGGGGGTTATTCCTGCTGTTCCCCATTCCCCCCCTCCCACGACGTGGCAGGGGATAATTAAAAAGGATGCTAATTAGCAGGGGGGAGCCCTGCCCCAGCCCCTCCTCCCCTGGTGCCACCGGGGCGGTGGGACCTGTGTCCAGGCGAGTTCAGCTTTGGTCCAAGAGGTGGTCCCGACACCGGCGGGGGTCTTCAGGGCTGGGCACCATTCATTGCTCCCCCCCCCCCAAGTATTGGGGGGAAGGTGCCGGGAGGGGGGAGGTAGCGGGGTGGCCCCAAGGTCCCGGGGGGGTGCAGTGGTGGGGAGGGTGGCGGGGGGATGCAGGGACGCGTTTTGGCACGGGAGGGGGCTCTTTATCCGACGGTGGTGACGTGATGCGCCCTGGTGCGGGGTGAGGGGAGGGGGGACACGCGTGGGCCGGGGGGACGAAGGGGGCGTTTTCCCCCTGCACACACACACGCGTGCCCACGCCAGGCCTACCACACCGCCGCCTCGCTGAGCTCCGGGTTCGGGTGCGACAGAGCCCCGCTGTAGCCGCTATTGCTGGACATGGAGAAGGGGGGGCTGGGCCCCCCGCTGAAGACCTCCCCCGGGATGGGGTGCAGCGAGCCGGTCATCCCCGGCTCGGGGCTGGGGGTGTCGGGATGCGAGATCATATCCGTGTACCTTTGGTTTTCTGAGGAGTGGTGTCCGCTTAGGGGGGGCTCCAAGGGTCCCAGGGGTGTGGAGCCGGGTCCTGAGTTCTGAAGGTAGCTGGAGTCGGCCGGGGACTGGGCTTGGGAGGGCGGCCCGTGGGGGAAAAAGTCATAGTTGCCTCCCGGTCCGTAGTAGTCACCTTGGTAATCTGTGGGAAGGGGGGAAAAAGGATGGATCCTGTCCCCTGGGGCCAAAGACCTTCCAAAATCCTGCTGCACCCCATCCCAGCCCTGTCCTGTCCCCTCCAAAATATTGCTGGCTCCCAGGATGCGGGGCCCAAAGAGCCAGGTAGGATGTAGAGCCCAACCTGAGAGAAATAAGCCTGTCCTAAGGGCTGCCGTGCCCATCACCCTCTCTCTGCCCAGACTGGAGGAGGGAAAGGCGGGGAACCCAGGGCTGGGACAGCTGAGGGGGTGAAAATGGGCTCCGTTTAGTGTTTAATTAATGGGGGAAAGTTATATATATATATATATATATATATTTTATATATATAGGGAACGGGAATAAATATATATAAAGAAAATGGGGGGAAATGAATATATAGTGGGAAAAATATGTAATGGGAAAAATATATAATATAATAGGAAGAATATATAATAATGTAATATAGTGGGAAAATATATAAACAATGGGAAAAACATATATAATAGGGGAAAATATATACATAAAAGGGGAACACACACACACACATATATATATATGTATATGTATATGTATATATAATGGCGAAATTATATGTAAGTTTAAGCAGCCTGGAAGGGATCTAGAAACTAACTTTAGGGCATCAAGGGGTGCCTGGAAAGCCCCCGGTCAGATGGGAGGCTTTGAAAATGCGGCTTTTGTGGGGGGCTCTGTGGGGAGCGGGGGGAGAGGGAGGCGCGGGGCCGCCCCGCTGCGCCCATCGCGTCCCGTCGGGGCGGCGGGGGGGGCAGCGGTGACCTTCCATATGCTGCGGGCCCCGCGAGGTAATTGGAACAAATGCGGCCTGAAAGGGGGACAAAAGCCCCGCAGCTGGGGCTTTGTTCGCGGGAGAGGGGCCCCGCAATGCCGGCGGGGCGCGGGGGTGCGTGGACGTGGCTGCGGGTGCGGGGATGCGGCCGTGAGTGCGTGCGCGAGGGCAGGAGAAGCGGAAAATCCTGGGAGAAGCGCGAGATGGAGGAACAAAAGGGGAAGGGGGGACGCACAGGGCAGGGTCCCCGCGGCCGGTCCCTCACCTCCGTAGTACGTGTAGGGGGTCGAGCCGAGCATCTCGGACTCGTCGAGGCGGCCGCCGAGGGGCCGCATCCTGCGGGGGCTGCGGAAGAAGGCGTGTCGGCGGGCGCCCAGCGCGCTCAGCTGCTTCATCCGCCGCTCCTTCGACCGACGGTTCTGGAACCAGACCTGTGGCCGGGCCGGTGTCAGTGCCCACCGGGAATGGGAGAGCGGGGACCCCTCTGGGGCAGGGACATCCCATTCCCCCCCCCCCCCCAAATCTGGTCAGGGGAAGTGTTGGAAATCTTGCACCCACCCTGGGTTTTTCAACATTTTGGGTGTTTTTTTTAATGACGCTGAGCCCCCACTCTTCCTGCTGCTTATACCCCAAAATGCACACTCCTCAAATAACAAGGTTTATTAGAATCCTACCCGTCTCCTCCCCACCTGCATCCCCACATGCTCATCCTCAGCCTATCTGTCCCTGCAACGGAGAGGCCAGCCGGAAAATACAGGAGGAAGAAATTTCCCCTATGGATACGGGGAATAAGGGAGGAAAAGTGGGAACAGAAAGGGGGTAGGACTGTGGATCGCGGCAGAAGCGGGCGGAAAGCGGGAAGCGGGGAGATAAACACCTGCGGCAGCAGACAGGGAGTCAGAACAGCCGGCAGTGAGGATGGAAATGAAAGGGAAAAGGGGAGATGCGGCCGCCTCTCCACGGACATCGCCTAATCCGAACCGCACGCCTCAGCAGCCTGGTGGGGTGTCTGGATTATTGTCCCACTCCCCCAGGGATGGGGCAGCTCGGGAGAGCGAGCACATCACACTCCTGCGGGACTTCTGCTCCCCTCTGCCGGGAGCCGGGAATCGCAGCTCCGCTACCGGCAAAGCCGGAGAGTCCTCCCCTATTAATGCCTCTATTAAAGCCCATTAATCCCTACATTTCCGCAGGGATTTTCTTCACAGGGGCAGTGCGGTAAGAAAGTGCCGGCTGCCTGCAGAGAGCAATAGATGCTCCTTGCTTCCACAAGGCTGGAGCATCCAACTCCTGGCGCGCTGGAGATCCTGCTCGGCCCCACGGGAAGCCACGCAGGCTGACGTTTTGGGAATGGTTTTCATCCCTTCCCATGGGGTGGGTGTATTAAAGCACAGGGTGGGGGATCCCTGCTCACCCACAGGAGAATGGGAGTGGGAGCAGGGCTGGGCCTGGGGTGACACTCGCAAGGGACAGATGGCGTTCCCTTGTCCCCATTCCCTGAGGGAACAATCTCGGTGTCCCAACCCCTTTCCAGCACCTGGGGGAAACTGTCACAGCCTTGAACTATCTGGGCTCCTACCAGAACCCCTTCTCCTCCCTCCTGGCAGCCTGGGGCTCTCCTACCTGGATGACTCTCATGTTGAGGCCGGTCTCCTGGGCCAGCTGCTCTCGGATGTGGCGGGTGGGTTTGGGGGTGGCGGCGAAGGCAGCTTTGAGGGTCTCCAGCTGCTTGGCTTTAATGGTGGTGCGGGGCCCCCTCCGCTTGGTGCCCGAGTTCTGCTCCTCGTTCTCGTTGTTGGTGGTCTCCTTGTCCGAGGAGGTCGAGTTGTCCGTCTCCTTGGTGTCGTCCTGCATGGGGTCCTGGAGATCCGGGGACAAACTCCTGTCTGTACATGAGGACACTGTAAAGGAGACCCAGAGAGGAAAGGAGGGGGGCGGATGACTTAGGGGAGAGGCTGACCCCCCTCTTCTCTGCCCTCCCCGGCCCGTCCAGCTCAGCTGCTTTCCAGGAGAGGAGTTGGGAGGTGCTGGAGAGCAGTAGGGGGTGCAGATCGCCTCTGCCCCCCCGATACCCCTAAAGCAACAACCCCCCAACATCACGCAGAGCTCCAGGCAAGCGCTGCCCGATCCGGCCCTGTGCACCGTGTCATGCCAGCCGGGGGGAGCTGGGGAGGGGGCGATCCCCCAGGCCCACCGCAGCCCCCCACGCTCCCCCTCTCCCCACTGCGCCTTTTACACTGGGAAGCGGGATGCGCCGCTGGGAAAAATGAAACCGGTCCCTTCCGGGGTTTGGGGGGTCCCCAGTCACTGCCTTGAGCCTGGCTCACCCGCCGCCCCCAGCCACCAATCCCTCCCCCGGGGACCCTGCAGCCAGCACCCCCCCAAGGCCAAGCTCTACTCGCCTCGCTCACAGCAGCGGCCCCACTGACTGGCGTGGCAGGATCCGGCCCCGGGTGCTGGACGGAGAGAGAGCCCACGGAAGGGGGTGAGCAGGGGCGCCCGGCATGGCTGGGACAGCAGGAGGGGGCCTGGCCCTGCTCTCCTGATGCAGAGACAGCTTCCAAGGAAGTCAAATGGGAGCTTTGCCTCTGGGTGAAAGGAGGCGAAGGATCAGGCCCACGGCGCGGGGGGACAGGGCATACTCGCAGGGGGGGCTCCGGGGCGGGGGGGTCTCCCGAGCCAGTCCGGAGGGTGGTCCTGGTTCCCCACCGCCCCGCATCCCCGCTGCCGTAGGGGCCGTGCGTGGGGCAAGAGCCAAAAGGCGGGGAGGGGGGGAAGAGCTCTTCCCACGCGTGTCCGCATCCCTGGCGGGAGGGGGGGGTATCACAGAGGCTTCCGCCCGCTTTGAAAGCTTTCACCCCAAATCCCTCCCTCCCCACGCGGATCAACTGGCTCATCCCACAAATCCAAACCTCCTTCCCGGCCAAGAGACGCCTCCGCCGGGAGGTACCGGCAGCTCGGGGCTGCTGCCTGGCGGGCTCGGCGCTGCCCGCTCCTGCCGGTGCCGGCGGCAGGAATTACCGGGGGGGTCAGGCTGGCCGCGGGGTGCAGCCCCTCATCCCACAAATCCAAACCTCCTTCCCTGCCAGGAGGTGCCTCCACTGGGAGGTGCCGGCAGCGGGGACGGTGCGGTGCGGCGGGCTGAGCCGCTCGTACCTGAGTTGAGGCTGCCTTCCTTCAAACTGGGAGAGTTCAAATAATCCTCTTTGCAAACAAATTTGTTCTCGTCGATGATATAGAGTTCCTCGCCCGTGGAGAGCTGCTTGTTGCAGACCATGCAGGTGAAACAGTTCAGGTGAAAGACTTTATTCCGGGCTTTCCGGACGAGGTCGCTGGGGGAGATCCCTTGGGAGCAGCCGGCGCATTTGGTACCAAACCTCCTGGGAAGGGGGAGAAAAGCGAGAGCTGGAGCCCCGGCGGCGATGGGCTGTGTGTGAGCTGTACCGAATCCCCCTCCTCAAACCCCATCGCGGGAGCCCGATCCTCCAGATCTCTCCCTGGAAGATTTGGGGGAGCAGGCGAGGATGAGGCGAGGATGAGGAGAGCCTTCATCCCCGCGCAGCCCCGGCACTGGGCTGCGGGGAGAGCGCGGGTCTGGGGTGATCCCCCATGAGCATCCTCGCCCGGATTTGGCCCCTGAAGGGACGGAGGGGAGGGGGGGTGGCGGGGGGTCCTTTCGACGCTCCGCAGGGGGGGATTTCTTTTAAGCCGGTGCTTCCCGGGAGGGCAAAGGGGAGCTCCGGCCTGAAAATCCCGGGGAGAAAACGGGGCTAATCACGGCCAGAGATGGAAAAAGGGAGAGGCGGGTGCGAGGGGCAGCGCGCACCCAGAACAACGGGCGGAGGAGGGGGCTGAGCTCCTCAAGGTAGCTCGGGGTCCCCAGCGCTGCGTCTGGTCCCCAGCCTGTCCCTCTCTCCTGAGGGGGAATTCTTCCAGGCTTTGGAAATCACCAATTATCTTTTCCTTCCTAGAGCGGGTTTGGTTTTTTTTGGTTGGTTGGTTGTTTTTTTGTTTGTTTGTTTTTTTCATCAGGAGGTGCCTTTTTTTAAAAAAAAAAAAAAAAAAAATTCCAAGGGACACGGAACAGGGTAGGAAAATCCCCCAAGGAAAAAAAAAAAAAAAAAAAAAAAAAA